AAAGTTAGTGCGATGATATATCTCCTGATTTTAATTTCTCTTCATTTGTTCTGTGCTCCGATCCATTGAACATATTTGATGACTGGCTTCAGTTCCAGGAAATGTCGCTACAAGCCGTGCGAGTAAAAAAATAGAACTCAAAAGAAGTTGAAAAGAAAAGGTATGCATCCTTAAGACTCTGATTTATATGCTTCATTTTTATCCACTTCAGTCACCAAATCTAAATTCCTATAAGTATAAAAGTTATGCATTCGTAAGACCCTGATTTATCCGCTTCATTTCAGAAAAGAAATAAAGGCAAAATATATTTCGTCCATTAATATTTTTATTCACGTCAGTCGCTAAATCTAAATTCCTTTGATTTTTGACGATCTTTGACGATGTTTGTGCTATCTATTGCTGTGACTTTTCGCTTTGAACGTTTTGGAATAGGAATTAAAGTCGACGCGAGTTCCTCAAAGTCAATCAAGTATATATAAACCAAGAACTATTTGGTTTAAAGTTTGACGATGTCACACTGATACTGAGTCGATTAGCTATCGACATTATGTTGAAAAAGTAAGAAAAATCATTCTTAGTCATCGTGGATTTTTTGATTTTTTAAAACAGAGTGACAATGTCGCTATAGCTTTTAGTTTTGTAGATTAAAAAATAACCTTTGTCGTGATTTTTATTTATTTTGACATAGGAATCGAAGAAGAAGGCCACTTGCGTAGGATAGAAAACGAGTAAATACGGACTCTGCTATTCCGTCAAAAGCGATGAAATGGCGAACAAGTTATGTCAGTAAACAAAAGAAARGATACGCAGGCAATTTAAAAAGCGACAAAATGCAGAAATAAGTAAAGAATAACTACTAAAAGAACTAAAACGAAGGTGATACACAAGAAAATGACTGAGTGCGAAGAAAGATGGTTTTTATGCTATCTGTGATGGTTTAATAGTGATAACAATGGAAGAAATCAGGTAATAGAACCGAAGCTATTCTTATTTATAATTTTGTGAAAATTTAATTTATGTTAATTATATATTTGTCGACCGCGCTGAACCATGGGTACAAAAACCACGTTAGTTGTAAATCGGAAAGTAAAGTTCTTTAGTTACGGAGATAGTGATCGAACATGTTGCATATCCTTTTGGTAAGTTTTAAAATCTCTTCTCGTTTTGAAGTGTATTTTTCTAAAACAAAAGGTTCAGTAGCAATATTTTAAGATTGAACAGTGGTTAAAAGAGACTTTAGAAATCAGTATATTTTGAAACCGATATTTACATAGTGTTTTCAGATCCAAAACACTAACCAGGCAAAAAGACGGAATTAGGAAAGATTTACACGATAAAATGTTCACTGGAAAAATATTAACAACAAATTTGGTGACGACAAACAGTGAAAACTTTAGAAAATCCGTAAATTCTTCGTTTGCAACCACGTGTATTTTGCTGGCTCCAAATCAGTTTTTGGTTCCAATCAAAAAACAATCCTTATGAACATGTAGAGCTACTTATRATACAACGCTGAGCAAAAAATTGGAGCATTGGAGAATTTCTAAGACGAGCTGTTAGCGAATGAAGTTACCGATATTTCAGTGTAGCACCATCCAACATGGCGGACAACTACTCGGAAACATAAACAATGAAGTTACATCATAGTTCTCTAAAACATATCAAAGAATCGAGTTTATAGCATTCACAATTAATTTTAAGTTGTTATTTTCTTGGTCTATGACGTTACGTGCAAACGAAGAATCACTAGCTCTTTTCATAAAATCAGTTAGATATTTCGGTATTATTTTTGCCGAGCAAGCGATTGATTGAGCTGGACGTTGATGTGAGCACTCTTTATGATTCACTGAAAATAGACAAAGAACAAAAACCATTGACATAAACTTGAATGCATGTTCTTGTTTGTTAGTTATCATTGCAATGTTGTACACTACCACCACCATCATCATTTCAAAACGTATCTGTTACATATGCTGTTTATAGTCTATTGGGCTGCATTAAGTCAACTACCTAATCACCACCACTACTATCACTACCATCAAGTGGAAGTATTTTATTTTTCATCACCTTCACCATTTTTGAAAGAGCAAGTATTTATTGGCTGTTTTAATTCATACTTGTTTCATTGGTCTGAACTAAAATAATTTCTGTCATGCCACCACCACACCATCATCATGAGCTGCCATCAAGTGTAAGCCAAAGAAATTTATTCATCATAATCATTCGTTCAATTCTTTAGGTTCTAGCGAGGAACAGAGGGCCTCCACCTGGCTTTACATCAAGAGGACACAGATTGATGCAGGAAAGCCGAAGTCCTCAAGTATGTTATGAATCATTAAATTACTGATGGTCTTAGCTCAAGGTGAACAAGAAAGATGATGTAAAAAACTAGTAACTTTCCCATCGCCAATTTCAGGTTATAAGAAGGCCTCTACCTGACGATACATTGAGACGACAGGGAGTGTTCCAGGGAACAAGAGTTAACGTAAGTTTTATAAATCATGATGAGTGTTTGTCAACGATTATTATTACAGTCACTACAATGACTAGACCTTTAGGAAGTATATACAATAAACGAATATCTTTATATTAAACTCACATTCTGGTACCTATACAAGAAATATAGGACTTGAGTTTGAGCCTATAATGACTTTTGGTTTCCTGGAGAGAGCCTTGCTTGCGGTTCCTGATTTAACTTTTCCATGGCTCCAATCCTTTGTTCTTTAGTTGGTTCGTTTTAACTACTGAATGCTTATATTGGTTATAAAAAATTTGATTGCAATTGCAAAACTGTATTTTTGTAATTGGAAATTCGAACATTACTCTGTTGATTCACTGAGGTTATAACACAACTAACAAAAGCAAAACGAATCCAAGTTAATGGGGGAATTTGTGAAAAGTGTCAAAGAACTGATACTACACAAGTTGGTTTAATTTTGTATAACCAACAATATGATTTATTCTAAATTAGAAATATCATTGAGAAAGAAACTGGGTGGAGTTGGCATTGCAGTTCATTGTGGGGCCGGTTTTTTTCTCACCCTCGGACCGGTATCATATTTCTTGTTGTTAGCTTGACTTTTTGTTTTGGTTTGAACAGGATCAAGTAGAAATATATGTAGACGAAGTCCTTCAAGATGGTATTAACCAGGAGGTGTAAAGATACGAAATCATTATTATTACAAAATTATTATTACAGTCACTACAATGACTAGACCTTCAGTTAGTGTATACGATAAACGAATATTTCGCAATCGTTGACACAGTCCGCGTATGTGGTAGGGTGATTTTTGTTAACCCATGAAACAAAGTGTACTAATTACAGTGTAATGGTCATATAAATACAATAGAAAACAAAAGAAATAGAGTGTTATAGCCAGCTAAAGTGCATTTCACGGGTTTATGAAAACCTCTCTATCTGGCAAAATATAAAAATTCTTTTGTCTAATTTAATATCTTAAATAAAGTTGTATAATTAGTGAGTAAAAATACACAACATGGAATTAGTGTTAAACAACTACGTACTATACTAAGTAATTATTCTTTCACGGGCCATGTAATATCATTTAACCTACCTAATATACTCTACTCTATGACCAGCATACTCTGTCCAACACCACATCCCCGTATAACATAGTATGGGAGTACCAAGCTACTCCGTCCTCTCCAGGGGTTACTATGAAGGCCATCTCTTTCGGTGTTTCTTTCAATGGGCCCTTCTTAAAATTGTCACAAATTCCGTGTGACTCTTATATTTCCAATTTAGCCTCGCAACCACGATACTTTTGATCCATTGTAAAAACACTTATAGAGCCTTAGTACCATTACTTGATGACAGCCATGATAGGAGGCAAGAATTTTGAATCTGCTCTAATCTACTTTAACTTAAGAATTCCGTTTTCCAGGGGAAAATACTCACGTGATGGTGCAGAGTCCCTATTGCTGGTTCAATCTCGCCATATTGATAATTCAAATTTCATTTAAAAATGCGCGTCAAAATAATGGATTTTGATCATTTTATTGATCAGAAAAACTAACGCAGATAGATTTCGACGTTTCGATGACGTTTCATCATTATCAAGAAACTAACTGAGAAAAAAAATTGTATTTAATCAATATTTATCTATATTATGTGTGAGTTACTTTGAAGCTGTAATTACAATACTTTTTCTCCCCTAGTGCATATCTGCATAATAATAATAACAATAATAATAATAATAATAATGATGATGATGATGATGATGATGATAATATTAATAACCTTTATTTACCGTGGTCAATGGGCTTAGCTAAAAGCTACTTTGCAGCCATGCCACACAAAAAAAAGAGACAATACTATAAATAGAGAGTAATTTAAAAACTCATATATATGGATAGACTATGGAAATATGACTAAACACAACTAGGAATTTAAAAATTCATCCATTGTTGTTAAAATAGGGTTTATTTGCAAAATAAATAAAAAATAAAAAAAATCAAGTAGCTCTGTTGCTATAGAAACTATGGTCTACCATTTACTCGCCCAGTGAATCAATGTTTATCTCCCCCAGTCTCCCTCATCCTTAACTTAAACGAAACCGGAAATGAACTTAGTTGATTACTTCCGCTAGCACCATTCTTCCTCCAGAAACTCGACCGAATCAAATCAAAGTTCCCCTGTTCTTATGAAATGCAAACATGACAGGAGGCAGCAGGGACATGTCTGAACTCGTAGGGAAAAGTCATCGCTGATTGGTAATTTTAGGATGTAGTTCAATGCTCATGTCACCAGTCAAATATCATGGGAAAWTTTTCACAAAGCTTGGTTTAATGCTGGAGACTAATTGGTGAAGCATAAAACTTGTAAACACAGTTGCTATTATGAAACTAGCCGTTATGCCAAAATCTAGTTAAGGTCTATGATATGTCTTGAAGGCAAATACATATATACATACAAGCTTTATCATAGGCGAGTTAAACAAACAGTTGGTTTCCAATCTAGCCCACCGTACCCATAAATAGAAAACTAATAAATAAGAATGCATGACTGCTGATCACATTGCATTTCAAATCAAATTCTATTGGTGTATGGCACATGATGTGTATCGGTATATGTCAATAATTTAAAATTTTTATTGTTATGACAGGCAGACGGCTGAAAAATTAAAAATAAACTTTTTAAAACCAATTACAACACAACATAATTTTCTCATGAGACGTCATCATTTTCATTTTCACTAAAGACACAAAGGCGTTGTTTCTCAGTGACCGTACGTCTGAAACCTATTGAATAACTTCAAGACGTTTGAGGATTATGCATGGAGAAAAACAATTGGAAACTCTGAACAAAACTTCAGCGCTGGAAGGGTCAAATATCGATCTCAGAATCGTGCATGTAATTATGGATTATTATTTTGACTGCATGTTATGAGTTATGTTATGCTATGCTAAATGCAAATTTWWTGACAAACATCTTTAGTTTGTTGACTTGCAGCTCTCTCTGGATCAGGAAGGCTTTAATCCATTTACGGAAAAGGTAACTATGGAATATTTGGTTGAGCTGAAACATATTGTGAAAAGGAATTTTATGTGAAATTTCGTCGATTTAAAAGTTAGTGCGATGATATATCTCCTGATTTTAATTTCTCTTCATTTGTTCTGTGCTCCGATCCATTGAACATATTTGATGACTGG